AATGCAGACAAAATACAAAACAATAACAACAAAAACAATTAGACATAAGCAGACATACTGTGTACGCTACATGTGGGACATATTTGATTATACACCTTTTCCTTTCATTTGTGTTGAGTATCAATATTCTTTCTTGTGTGAACTAGTTAGTATCCTCTCCCTATATATAACCTCTGCCTCCGTGTTTTTGTTGAGGCTCTATACCTGCATTAATATAGATGTTACTGCGTCTGTAACATGTAGGATAATGGCAGAAATGTTGTTTTACTATGTCATAGTGTGCTTTACGATGGAGTCTCTCTACTACACATATGTACTGGTTCATCTGATCTGTAATAGTTGATTTATGTGATGAGGCATACTCTGACAGGATTGTATTAACCATCAGAGATATTTCTATAGAGTTTACACTGTGGGAACTCTGCCTAACTTTGCAATTTTAGCCAATGTTGCAAATTAATTAATTAACTTTTTGGCAATATTTGTTTTTTTTTTGTTCCATCAATGTGATAAACCACTTTTTTTTGCCAGGAATTTAATGTACTTAATTTGCCAAAAAGATTTGCATTTCTGTCAATATCTCAATATCAGAATAATTTTTATTGGCCGAGTATATGTACACATCGACAGGAATTTGACTGTCTGAAGTTGCATGTACCATGATAGAGGATTCATATCACCTACTCCTGATCTGATTATAGTTTAGGATAAATGTATATCCAGTGTAACATCCAGGAAGACATAAACAAGAAAAAACCTTAATAATGGGATCAAGCCCCTTTTTATTTTTCTGTTTTGTGATCGAACTGCATCAGACACCCAGCAAGAGTTTGTTTTTATACAAATATTTTGAATTCATGTCTGTTGTTGATAAATTGTCCTTGGATGTGAAAACTCAGACATGCACACACTCTCACACAAGGGGAAAAATAAGGACAGCTGTAAAGTATTACAAATGACCTCATGGTACTTTATTCACTCACAGCGGGACATAAAGGCATTCTAACTCAAGATGTTTGGCACAGTATTTAGAGATTGTACACTAGATTGGATTGCCCTTCACAAAATGGTACAGATACATACAGCAGACCTTAAAGCAAAACTAGATGGTAGAATGATTTAGTCAAGTGAAAAAATTGAATTAAGTAAAGTTTCATTTTCCTGTGTCCCTAGCAAAAAGAGGACAAGTCTGGACATTTTCACAGGCTGCACATTTAGCAAAAACTGCTGTTTCCGATGTACTCAAAGCCATCTGATTAATTGTATTGCTGTATAAATGCTGCCTGCATACAGAGTGACAGACTCAATCACGGATAACCTTGAACATAAACATGACACAGTAAACTACTGTATAATAGTAAATCAGGTTATCAGTCCTTTTGGTTCAGTGCATCCTCGCAGAGGTTGACAAGGCATGTTATTTGCAAAGCCACAGTAGATTGTGCTTCAATTCAGTCATAACAGGATGTGTCTATCATATTATGTGGCTGATTTGAAAAATAATAATTATTGACAACAAGTGACTATGATTGTGAGATTAGACGTGGTCATCATGAATGTTAAATGTAGGCCATTGTTATTCATTTAGCAGTGCATCTTGGATTTAGTGTAGCATCAGTGATGCGAGTGAGAGCGGTAGGGGTATGTGTGCTGCGTCGTGGGGCTCATGATGTTTTCTGTGATATATGCCACCAGCAAGCAGATGATGACCAGCATCACGCAAATAGCTCCCCCCACCGTTGTCATGGCAATCACGATGTCCTGCATCCCAGAAGGCGGCAGGGTAAACTCAACACAGTCCCGCTGGTCTGCCGTCTGAGCTGGATCGGAGTGGGCCAGGGAGCGCAGGCAGATGCGGTACGGGATGTTCTCATGCAGCTCAGCGAGGAGAAAGTCCCTGCAGCCAGATCCAAGATGGACACCAGCACACTCAAACTGAGTGTAGCTTCCATTCCACCAGCAGCTCAATTCGTAGCCTCCCCGTCTGTGGCGTCGGCCACCGAAAACAGTGTTTGATCTCAGAGTTTCCTGTCTCGTTGAATTTGTCCCAGGATCCCCACTGCTCTTCTGACCAGCCGCAGTCTCTTTTGTCTTCACGTCTCGGCCGGCCATTGCGGATTCTCCCTCGTGGGTCCACTGTAACAGTACGCTGCCATTGATAAGAATATTTGCAACCAGATTCCCCAAAGACACCACTGTCCTGCAGTCTCCCTTGCGACACTTGTACCCAGGCAGTGTGTGTCGAAAACACAGCTGCCCCCCAATGCCTCCCTCAATCATTCGGTAGGCACACAGTGGTGACACCCCTTCCTCTGGGCTCCAGCTTGGTGCCCTGCCAGACCTTTCAGATATCACAGTAGAAAAATTGCCTCTGCTGGTGGTGTTGAAAGAGAGGCTATTCACTTGGCCTGTTATCTCTTTAAGCTTTGGTGATGGCCTACTTACGCGGCTGTGATTGCCATAGCTGGAACTGCCATTAGTCTGTTCTAGCTCGATTTGGGGCGACCCCAAACGATTCCTGCCTCTCACCTCTGATGGGGATGTTGTTGTTGTTGATGTTGATGATGCTGAGCTGCTGCGATGAGATCTGCTGGACCCATCTGTCTGGTGTAATGTGCAGAGCAGGAGTGCCGATAAGGCGAGCAGTGATGGTCGTGTTTGGCTTTTCATCTCACTTCCCTCTCGTCGAATTATTTTATCTCACAGTGGATCAGATGGGCGACGCTGCTCGGCGGGCTGGTGTCTGCCATAAGATCAGCTCTGCCACAGTGCACACAGACGAAATCCGTGTGAAACAGGAGAGCGCGTCCATGGGCGAGAGGAGCGGGTGTGCATCTGCGACAAAAATAACATTTAATCATGCGGCCATCCAGTCAGAAAGAAATCCGAGTTTGACCTTGCATAAGACAAGCGTGCAGGATGAAGTTAATAAAGCCTAATCGGTAATAAAAGATTCCGCCTCTTTTCAAGTAAGTGATTTGTATAAATCACTTACTTGTTTCGGTGGGACGTGAGGACCCGGCTATCGTGCCATCAGATTTGCTTTCTTCTTCCTGTCTGGTTTGACGTAAAGGGCTTTGATGCCCACTGTGTGAGAGTGCACGTGGAGGAGCGCGCGCCGCTAGGGAGCGTGGGTGCCGTGCACAAAATATTTGTAGTCATCTTCAGCAGTCGGTTTGTGAGTCACCATCCCACTCAGTGCTCCGGGTGTCTGTCAGTAACGGAGACAACAACCAGAGTCCTGACAGCACTGACGGAGGGAGCGTTTTAACCGACCTGCATCCCACCTGTGCTGCTCACCTGCACATCACCCACCTCCAGCACACATCAGATCAGAGCTGACGTTAGGTCTGCCAGTGCAAAACAACACCCACAGAAACTGTTTTAGTTTAACATTTATGGTAGGGTCTCAGAAAGCTACATGTATTTGAAATAAGATAAAGTGTTAATTCAGAATGAATCTTCTACAATCATAATTTTTTACTCATTGTTAAAATTAAATTTTAAAAAATGGTTCAAGTACAAAACAACACATACCAAAAATATGGGTAACTGAATGTTTAATATTGGTGCCATGTCGTTTTCTGATAATGACTACTGCAGATTTTCTTATGCTTTATATTAACTAGATTTGTCCTGGTGCTTTTAAATGCTGTTCAAATTCAGAAAACACAATTCAAATTGGCTGTTGGTAGTTACACCGTATGAACCAAATATTCCAGCTTTGGTCTCTTTTAGTATAATTTGACATTGGAGGCTGTGTCTGATGCTTCTCTCTCTTTTTGATGCATGGCGTTTAGCGATGCATCGCAGGAAGAGACACCCCACACAGAGAGATTGGCACTTATAAAACCTGTATTTACCGGCTGTCAGAGTTTACATATATATGAGCTGTATATTATGTGTTTGTTTTTGAAAATGGTAGAAATGGACAAGATGAAGAAATAGACCCTTTATTCTCTCATTTGTCCTCACAATGGTGGCATTTACTGCTATTGTAAAACAGAAAGTTGTTGCTGCTGATTTGTCCTGGGTTGAACTTATTTTAATAAATGTGCTGCTTATATAAAAAGGAGTGAGGATCCAACACATGAATATAATATAGTGATGTCAATCAATCCCTGCAGTTATTGTAAGGTTTATTTTTTTCACAGTTTTTGAATTTTGATTTAAATTCTTTTGTCATAGGCCGGTCCTTTAAATGAAGAGAAACGTCTCATTATTAAAAAAAATCTCAAGCACAATGGAAAACATTTATGACCAAGATGCATCATTGGCAATAGGCAGTGCCTATTTGAGATTATTCTAACCAATAATTGTCTCGTCCCAAGAGAGAAACTTGGCAACCCAGTAAACAATTAGTACCAAGGGAGTGTAATGGCTGACTAATAGGAACAATGCTGCATCAGCAGGACTGACTCAGCTCCACCTGTGCCTTAGAGGTCACATAGGATAATTGGTTAAATCCATCTGATCTGCAGTTGATGGTCTGATACTAGCTATTGTTATTTAGCTGTTGTTCGTTTTTTATAGTCAGGATAACTACTGACAAATATTCAAGCAGATCGCTGGTCCTTCACCACATCCATTTCCATAACGGAGTTAAGTGATGATTAGTGTGAATAATTTAATAGGAACAGGCTGTTATGTGCACAACAAAGTACAGTGACCCACACCTGTTGATGTGATCGCTCAGGTCAAAAGACAGCATAGCATTTGCAGGTGCTTGCTGATGCAGAAAGAAAACGTGGAAAATGCCTGCCGTTGCATGTACACTCAGCGCATCAACATATTAGGTGAAATTGACCCTGAGCCTGGTCAGCAGACATGAAACCCTTTTGTGTGACTAATCTATTTGTTTGTCTGTGTGGGCATATATAAAACACCATGAGGAGCATCTGCAGTGGTAGTAGTGCACGTGAAGCCTTGATGTTTGACTTTCGCACACATGCTCGTCTCAAAGAAAAAGCAAACGATGTCACCACACAGAGGATGATGCCATGTCAGAGGTCCTTACTGTAGATGCTATTTTGTTTGGGCTCTTGGTCTTTTCTGGCATCCTGGGAAACATCTTGGTCATCCATGTGGTGAGATAATATACAATTGTTTATTTGTTAATTGAGCTGAACGTTTTGGGTAGGATTGTTTTCAGTCTGTCTTATTTATGCTCTCAGGTGTTTCAGTCAGCTGTTGAGAGTCCGTCTCGGAGACTCTGCCCCTCTGACACCATTCTGGTGCACCTGTCACTGGCCAACCTGCTGACCTCACTTTTCCGCACGGTGCCCATCTTTGTGTCAGACCTGGGCTTGGATGTGTCTCTGTCGCCGGGCTGGTGCCGAATCTTCATGCTGCTGTGGGTGTGGTGGCGAGCTGTAGGCTGTTGGGTGACTCTAGTTCTTAGCCTCTTCCACTGCACTACCTTGAGGCGACAGCATGTGGCCTTTGGACCTCTCGCACAGCAGAGGGAGAGGCTGCGGGTTTTGGTCGTCCTGGGGCTGGTGTGGGGGGCAAACCTGGTCTTCTCAATTCCAGCTCTGGTATATACCACTCATGTTCACGGAAACACCACTGTGGAGCTGATGGTGATCAGTTGTACCACCAGGCCTTTGCTGGGCTGTATCTGGGAGTTCCCCTCCACCGAGCAGGGCTCAGCCTTTGCCTCCACCTCGCTGGCACTTAATGAGGTGTTACCACTGGTGCTGATGGTTTGCACCAACCTGGCCACGCTTCATGCTCTTGCAAAACATATTCGAGCTGTTACCTCAGGGGCAGAGTCAGGAGGAGCTCATGGGGAGCTGGACAAACATGTGTCCACTGAACGCAAAGCAGCTCATGTAATCATGTCGCTAGTGTCTCTCTTCGTGGTCTGCTGGGCGCTACAGGTTGCTGCGGTGACATACTACAACCATGACGGGGGACACCACGCTGAAGGGCTGCTGACTGTGGCCCACTTCTCTGCCTCGCTGTTTGTAGGCTTCAGTCCTATGGTAGTGGCCCTGGGACATGGCAAGCTGAGAAGGAGAATCATGAGTATGATACAGGGCTCGTGTAAGTTTCTTAAATGTCACAGTGAGGACACTGAAGAGGTGGGTGAATCTCCAAAAACTACAGGAAAGAAGGGAAAAGACACTGTTTTTATTGTTCAGAAAGGGAGCAAGGTCATAAAAGTGGAGGCGAAAGTTAAAGCAAACAAATGATGCAAAGTGTTGTTTCTAAAATACTGTCTTTGTTGTTTCTTTTCAGCTGAGATGTATTCTAATAAAAACTGTAGTTTTCTTTTGTTTGCGCTGTCAAGTTACCTTTATGTGTATAAGTTAGTCTTGAGTCTCAATAGGCTTTACAAACCTTATTATAGACTTTCCAGTGGCTCAATCACCATCTGATTTCTAATAGCTAAATAAAAACTATAAGGAAATCCTCTGAGAGGCAATTTAGCAACTCAGTCTGAGAAGTTTGCTATTAGGTCCGGTAGTATAAAGTTATCATAAGTTGTCCTTTTATGTTTAATAAATATATTAACAACATTGCCTCTGTTTTAACACAAAATTGTATTATAAGGATCTACAGATCAATAAGCCAGAAATGTGAGATTTAGTTTAAATATTATTTATTGTGTTACGTAGAATACATCACACCATCTATCAGCCCACATGTCTACATAAAGAATTAAATTCATTTGCTCTTGTAGCACAAATCCTTGTAACCTGAATTATGTTTTGACACTTAGCCTTTCAGTCCATCAGCCCAACTCCAGAAAGAGAGAAACATCATATATGCATACCTATAACAATGAACCTCCTTTAAATGTTTTTTGAGAGAAATTGCTGAAAAGTAGAGTTTATGATTAGCAGTACTGTGAGAGCTGCACCTCCAGAGCTTTAGCCGACTGTACTGTCTGTCAGTGAGAGAGCGCAGACTTCATGAAAGACCGCAGCCGTCGGTGGCCAACTGCCAGAACAGCAGG